GCGCTCTGGCAGCTGTGTCTCGTGGTGTGCCTTCTGTACCGCCAACAGGCTGCAGCTCCAAAGCCCGAAACACTGCCTGTGTTCGCTGCCATCTCCACATGGAGCACACTATATTTGCTTGTGGTGAGGTTCAGTGGCGAGCTCCATTCTCCAACAAAATGAGGTGGTGCTTCACGTTGTTAGATAACTGTCTGAAGCAGGACGACGATGGATGTGCGTCTATGAGCCTGGATTTTCACTTTCTGCCTGACACTGCACATGAAAACATCTTCAGGTTTTCCAGAATAACCTTGGTGTCTTTTGCTGTCTGCCCAGGACGCCTTTCTGGAGCATCTTACAGAAATCCTGCCACGGGCGCAGGAGCAAGGCGAGGGCTGTCGTAGGTGAACTTTGCTCTTGGGTGGTCTGGATGTGATCTGTAAGACCTGAGGGCATTGCCAGCTGGATATGGATATAATCATCACTAAATTTTTCGTCACGGATCCTTTTGCTTCCTTACAGGATTGCATTGTACCTGTGTAGTAGATCTGTGGCGGGCTCACTTCGTTAGCACCCGGAGCCTTCCCAGAGAAAGGACCCCTTTGTGGGTGGTTTTCCATAAAGCCACATTGTTCTTCTAGAATGACGTGGGCTTAATGCCACCTAAAACGTTTTTTTTCACAGCCTAAGTAGAGACAGAGGTTTTTTATAGCTGTGGTAACCCATTTAATCTTGCTTCTTACACAGAATAATGCTAATAAAAGAAAGATCAGCCTTTCTTAGTCCCAGCCATACTTTCAAATGACAGACCTTGGAAATTTATTCAAATATAAATGGCAACATATGGTTTTATGTGGTGGGATTTGATTTCAGCATTCGTCTTGGATTTTGGCCAATCTTCAGGCTGTAGGCTTCATCTACAGTTTCACTCTCTTTAATCTTCCAGGATAAATTATATCATTTCATGAAAGTCAGCTCACTGTCTCTTGAAACGCACATGTTCCCAGCCCTGACTCATCTGATGATAGTGTGAAATATCTGCGAGCAGCCACCGAAAGCCGCAGGTTGTTGTTGCTTTTCCTCTCGCTATCGGCTGCTGCATCCCAGCCAGCCGGGGCTGCTTGCGTCCCGGGATCGGCAGTTCTCTGCCGGGGCTGTATCGCTTCGGGTTGCTCCTTCATTTAATTAATCGGCCATAAATGGCTTGTAGTTGTTTATGTCAGCTTTTCTCATCCATGTGGAACGGTTTACATTAGATTTCCCAGAAATCAACCCTTCTGGCTTTTATTGTTGAGTGATTGTATGCGCCATTGTTATGTTTATTTCCACAAGACATGATTTTGTTTAAATCGGCTCCATTTTTTCTGAAGTGGGTACAAGAGAGATGTAATTGTTAGAGCTCAAAGTTGAGGTGAACCTCGTTTTTTTCTTTTGTTATGTTGACTCTTAATGGTTTTGTGGGGAGGGGAGAGCATGGAGAGCGCCAGAAGAATTTGCAGTTGGTTGAACTGAAATACCATCCCATTTACTCTAGCAGGAAAAAAATGCCTTGGGATAATAATGTAGGGACGGGTGCATCGAAGCAGCCTGTGGTGCAAGTCAAGGAGAGGGTTCCTTGGGTCAGCTTTGAGCGGGAGTTGGATCAGGCCCAGCGTACGCCTCCAAAATCAAATTGTATCAGCGGGCAGCTGCTGCCTTTGATCCTTACAGTGCCAGTAGCTTCCTGAAACTCAGCCAGATTCTGCTTTTCTCTTTGGCTCTTCCTGATGGAGGTCGGCCTTTTCGCAGCATTTCGTCTCTTTTCCTCCTGAAGGGCGTGTTGCTCCTGCATGGAAGCGTGTGCGTCCCGGGAGGGCCGTGCGCCACAGCAGAGCTGCGTGCCTGCAGCCTGCCAGGAGCATTTTTGGTGGGCCCCCGGTAAGAGTGTGCCTGGTAGGGCATTCGTGGGGAGTGCCCAGAGTAGGTCATGCTGCATGTTCGATCAACTTGAGCTTCTTCACGACGAAACGATTCCTGGTCCTGCACGCGGAGAGCGGGGGAGCCGGACGGGATGTGTCATCTGGCGCGGAGATGCTCTGGTCCCCGCCGGAGCGCGCTCATCCCACCTCTCGCTTTTAAATGCACGCTTGTGAAACCAGGGTGGTCATGCCAAAATGCTCACGATGTTCTCCCCGTTTTCCCAAGGGTGCTCCTGGCCATTTTGGATTTGAGTTTGGCCATTTGGTGGCTTTGCAGAGCCTAAGGCCCTTCACCGGTGACGCCAGCTGCTGCAAAGCAAACGTGCTTGCTCGCTTGCCCTCAGTTTTCGTCGGAGCTGCTCTAGCCGTCCGCAATGTGTATGCGGTGTTTGGGCTTTGATCTCCCAGCAAGGCAATTCCTGACGCTGTAGGGAGGCTTTATGAGGATTACTGCTGAAGAAAAGCCCGAGATTAGACTGAAGATTTACAGCCTGAAGCTGAATGGCACTGGCTCTCCAAACTCACCCATCTTTTCGGTGTCCCAGGGACCCCACCTCTGCCAAGCAGAGAGCCAGGTCATGCCCCTTGCACAACTGCAGGCAGGCGATACCAAGGAGACTTGCCCCATCCAAGAGCGGGGCTGTCTCAGCTCTGGTTTATTCTATCTTAGACCTTAATGTGTGTTTTATGGGCCTAGTGGAGCAGCCCACGTAAAGGCGTTTAATGCTTCAAAACCACTTTCATGGCATAGGCTGTAGAGAGAGCCAAGTCCTTTGGGTTTAAGATCATGATAATTTGCTTGACCAACAAGTGTAATCTGTTTTTCATGAGGGTGCACGCGTTGTTATTTAAGTCTCTTTATTCTACCTTGTGAGTCTTTAAGGTTCAGCTGGAAGCATTTAAATACAACTTTAGCAAGTGCTTGTGTGGACTTCAGCGCCCTGCCTACCAGAGGCTGCGCGAGCGGGGGTTGCCGAGCCTGCATGGAGCCCATTAGCTGCAACTTGTGGGATTGCGGCCGTGAATATCGATGGTAATGTTATCAAATAGTTCACCATAACCAGTGTCCCTGTCCTCTCACAGAGATCGAGTGGCAGAATTCCCATTGACGTCGGGTACTGACCACAAATATCTGAATAATAACCCAGTTGTGGCAGTTTTGCTTCGGGATGGCAGAAGATGTATCGCGTACACCACAAGTATGTTTTATTCAGTCGTAACAGAGAGCAGAAAGCGTGGGGAGAGGTCACCCAGCAGGCCCCTGCTCGCAGTGCTTCGCAGATCTCGTGGTCAGCTCAGCTGAGGTCCCACTAAACTCGGCGTGGCTCCAGTGAGGTCTGCTCAGTGCCTTAATCTTTGTGTAGGTACGTGCTATAAGATAGACACAGTTAGAAAGAGGAAGCTGATACGGGAGTAGTAATAATAATGCATACTTTGTAAAGAACTTGCTTTTTGGGAGTATCTAGAAACCCCAGCTGGGGATTTGGTCTCCTTGTGGGAGACACAAACGTAGAAATACGTACAAAGAACTGGCCCCTGCCCCAGAGAGGTTAGTTTCTACAGAAGAAGTAGCCAGTGCTCCCGCCAATCCTTAATTACCGTCGGTTGGCTCATTTCACATAACTACTGTGCCATGAGCTGGCCCCTAAGGGAAGCAGCAGCTGATGTCTCGGAGGGGTCTGCTGCGTGGAAGCTGGTGGGCCCTAACCAGACAGCCCGGCTTGGAGGTCCCACTGCTGTCCCCCGTCTCCCAATCAGCAGCACCCAGCATTCCCGGGACATTTGGGTGCAATCTGGCTAAGGAAGGAAGGAGCCTTGGGGCTCCCCGAGGGGTTCGTTCCTCAGCAGAAGGGAGGTTTCAGTCCTCCCGATGACAGGACACTGCTTTTCAGGACCTTTAAGGAGAAAACAGCTTCTTTCAGAGCTTCTCCTGTGCCTCTGCAAACAGCCAGCATCTGAGGAGGGTGAAGCTGGGAACGGCGTTTGACACTGTTTGTGGGTGGATGTGCCTACCCGGGCGCTTACAGCTCTGCTCAGAAGAGCGTGCCTGTGCTCTTCTGCATTCACTGCTCAGTTTGACACCAAAATGAGAAGTCAGCTCATGGCGCAGGGTACGAGGAAGCTCCCAGTGGATTCGGGAGCATGTGGGACCCTTTGCACTGCCCCCATCGCCTGCCATCTGACGGTGCTGGGACAGTCGGGCTCGCTGGGACGGCTGTGTGCGGGGCAGCTGCCGCGCACCGGCTCCTACCCCTACGGCTTAGGTGTTCGGTGTAGTCCGTTCACGCGGGGACAGAAAAGATCCCCCGAACGATGCACCGCAGAGGGAGGAGCTGCGGTTGCTAAGTAGGGGGGACGGGGAAATGGGTGCACCTCACGGCGCTCACCTCTGCTCCCTTTCGCTTTCCAACTTATTTAATATTTTGGAATTTTGGTGTGGATTACTCTAGATTGTTTGTGTGCTGAGAAAAGTAGGACTGAGCCAGAGAAGCTACTGGGAAGTAATAAGATTTAAACAGTATCCTGAGACCTGCTTTATCTTAGATCTTATTTCTCCCTCAAGTTGCTTGTGTTGCCTGCCAACACCCCTGTGTTACGGCTCTGTAATTCTGACCAGCTGATAGTTACACTGATGTATTTCACTCCTCATTTAGCCGGTGATAATTTTCTTTTTTTCCTCCCTGTAATTTGTTCTTCTTCCTAATTACATTATATTACAGTGGAAAGCCAATTCTGCACTGTAAAAGAGGCCGAGTCTTCCTGTGGCGTAGCCTGGCGCAACTCTGTTGCTTGCATTCGTACCATCAGTGGGTATGATTAAATTTTTAGGGGGAAAAGAGATACAAAGAGTTATGTTATAATTGTACCTGACCCCTTAGACTTGCAGCGCAGGTGTTCACCTGTGATTTCTCCGTTGGATTTGTCACGAAGAAGAATATTTTTAACAAGAGAAAAAACCTGGGCGGCGAGGTTTTGAGCAAGCAGATGAGCTGTTTTTTAAATGTTTCTCCTACTGTCTCTTGCAAGCTGTAGTTTAACAAACACGTGGTGATTCTTTTGTAGGTGTGTGGAGAGAAACAGCGCTTTGAGAAGCTGATGGAGCACTTCCGAAATGAAGACAACAATATAGACTTCATGGTGAGCGCTGTTTATCATCAGCAGACTTTGGTTTCCGTTTTTACTGTGTCTGGCCCTGTTGTCGTGGGCGGAGGTGTATCTGCCTTCTGATCCTTGGCCTAAAATCACCACAATACAATTTTTTTATATTCCAGACTACATAATGTGCGTTTCGTTTTTAGCTTCAGTTCAATTCAGTTATCTTCAAGAAATGCCTTGTACCGTAGTGAAGGTAAGAGGAAAGTGGCCTTTTGGTCGTGTGTGCTATTTCGCTGCGGCAAAGCAGCAGCTTCTGCAATATGAAGATGCGTGTTCTGTCCGTGTGCCAGCATCCTCGGAGCCACAGACAGGGAAGTGTGGGAGAGACTCGCTGCAGCTGCTGTCTGTCCTTATCCGCCGATAAATATAGCAGTAGTTTGCACCACTTTTGGTTCCTCAGCGTGCATATGCATGATTATTCACCAAATCCACTTCCCCTGGAGCACAAGAGGGAACGGCGAGAGAGGAAGCTCTGGCTGGCACCCGCAGGCACCAGCGCCAGCTTGCACCTTGGCTTCACCTGAAAGGCAGAGGTCGTGGCAGCAGGGATGAGCTAGCTGGTTACCTGTCCGATACCAAACATACTTCTGTATCCGTTTTTTTAAAGTCTATGGCAAGTGAGTGCTCGTGTCAGAAGTGTAAGAAATTTAAGTCCTATTTTTAATTAGAAAATGGCGTGGTCAGTGCAGTCTGCCTTGCACTGCTCGTGGTCGATGCCTCGGATCTGATGTGGTCCTGTTTTGAGGTGAGAGCAGAGCAGGAGGGCTTCCCACCCGGTCACACTGGCTGGTCTGCTGAGGCCTCTGTTAAGCATCTGTGAACACTTTATACTGTTTAAGTGCTGAGCTTTGTGTTAAAGACCTCTTTCTGCCAGGAACTGGGTGTTAAATCAGCCGTGTGGTGTTTCCTATAGGCTTTGAACGCTGGTGTCAGTGGCTTGCAGCCCTGATGGCCAGGGCAGGCTCGCACCCTTGAGGGGACAGCAGAGTAAAAAGGAGATGGGGTGAGCAAGATAGGATGGCCTCTTTCTTGTATTTAAAAAGAAAAAAAGTTACAGTGATCCCTGCAATTTTACTCAAGTTGGCAAGCTCTAACTCTCTGATGTTACAGTTGGTTTTGCTCCTAATTACCGCAGTCGCAGTAAGGACATGTTGGTAGTCACAGTATACATGAAGTATTCTCAGATGTACAAAGAGTTTAGTCTGTAGTTTAACAGCAAGATTTGTCAGTCCTCAACACCCGACCCAGTCATTTTTCCTGTGCTCACAGGGAGGGGTAATCGTATTTGGGGAGTGGGAGAGTAGCACAGCTTCATGCAGCCTGGAAGCAAGACGGTGGCAGCAGCTGTGAGCTATGGGATTTGTCCACTGTTTTTAAAAAAAAATCATCCCTCAGCTTTATTTAAGATACTAAATGGTGTATTGTAAGGATATAATAGGGAATATGCATGAGAGTGTGGGTCCGTACCAGCCCGGTGAGCTGTGAATATTCAGCATCCATCTGGATGGCCTGTAAGAAAATTCCCTGGTCCTCTCAGGCCAAAGGTTGAAGGTAGTGGTGAAATTTGCTTGAAAAAGGATATGTTTTTTTCAGGACTTGCCCAAATGCTAATAAAATCTGCATCTTTGGGCTGCTTCCGCCAGCTACGGGCTTGACTATACGACAAGCCTCAAGCTAGAAGAGAGAGCTCATGACAACCGATTTGGCAGATCCGCTTGTTCTTGTCGCCATCTGGCCCTAATGAGCTCCGCGTGCTGCTGCGAGCGCTAGCGGACGAGCGCGCTTTGGGGGGTGAGCGGGGAGCGCTGCGGGAGCCTGCGGGCCGCACCACGGCATGCCCAGGGCAGGTGTCGCTCCTTTCCGCAGGACAGGATAAAACGGGGGCTGGAGCCCAGGCTCCAGGATGTACGTTAAAGCTTGAGTAATTCAAGGAGTTGCATTGACAGAACATAAACGAAGAGCTATTCCTGCAGGACCTGGCTTCCGCGTTGCCCTAAATAGAGAGCTGTCTGGGAAGCTGTAGCTGGAAGGGGCCATGGTTAGTTGCATGGATTGACAGGGAGAAAAGAGCAACAAAAAGGCAAAAGTATGTTAGAGAAGGTTCCTGTTGTTGACATTGACTTACTTCATTTTAAAAGCAACTTTCTTAGATCAGTTTTCTTTGACTTGATAAATTCCTTAGTTGCGTATGTAAGGATCTGAGAAAGGAAATGAGAATTTGGCCCTAACATCGTGAGAGCCAAAGCAAGTATAACAAAAGCGCTTTTGAAATAAAGGTATTTGGCTGTGGGTGATTTGACGGGACGGCAGGGTTCAGCTGGCCAAGGCCAGTACCAGCACTGGGAGGAACCACAGCTCGCCACAGGAACTGGAAAGGGTCCTGCAAAGACTCGAAACCTGAAGTTAGGTTTCCAACTGCCTGGATCGGGTTGTTTGTGTAAGAGAGGGGTGCACACCAAGAGGTGGGGATGAGGCATCACAGGAGCTCCTGGATGGGTCCTCAGACCATCTTCCTTCCTCTCTTCCTTGGGGCTATCCCTGGTACCACTCACAACTTTGCATTATCTAGGCTTAAAGTCATTTTGGAAACAGAACGGTTAAAGCTGGTCAGGGTCTACGTGGGAAGATGTAGCTGAAAGGTTTTGACTGACCTTTGTTGTGTCCCTGTGGTCCCCGTTCCTCCAAAGCTGGGCAGTGCCAGGCAGTTCCACCGGGAAAGTTTTTATGGCAACTCAGTGGCTGCTGGGAGCTCCGGCTGGAAGGAGCAGCCGGGTGCATCCCGGCCAGACCTGTAGTCAAAGGCCACCAAGCAGCAGATGCCTGCTCATGGGTCTATCCTCTGGGCTCTGTAGCAGATCACAGAGAATGGGCCACTTCCCTGTAGCAAACCAGTGATCCAGCGAGTGCCTTCAGTCCGTTCTTCCCACGAAATGACCCAGAGATGTGGGGTCTCCTGGAGGCTTGTGTTACAGGTAAAATCAGGTTGCTTTGATTTTATCTTCTCTCAGATTCATTCTAGACCTACTGAGGTCGAGGACATGCTCGAGGACATGGTTTAGTGGTGGGCTTGGCAGTGCTGGGTTAACGGTTGGACTCGATGATCTTAAGGGTCTTTTCCAACCTTAACGATTCTATGATTCTATGAGATGCTTCCCAGCCCTGTTGAGAAGCTTGGTGTTACCCTTGCTGCAGCGTTGCTGGCAGGATGGGGTTCTGCCCTTGAGAAGCCCAGCAAGGACTAGGCAAACCCTCTCTGAAAGCGGCTCGGAGGATGACAGGCGTGATATCTGTGAGCTGAAAGAGGGCTGGGGATGCTTGTGCAGGGCAGGATTTGGCCGTGCCTTACATTCAAGTAAAGGGCAACCCTTTTGGGGTCTGCAGCCCGATTCCTGCCGCTCTGCGGGAGGTTCCCCCCACCGCTCATACCGCTCGCGACCCGCTTGGCTCGAGAGCCTTTCCCTTGGCTTTGCTGTGTTGGGACGCGTTTGGATGCCAACTCCTATGATCTGGTCCCTTGTTCAGTTACCAAACCACAGCTTTGGAAATATGCTTTCTGCAAACAACAAAGCGCCTTTTGTGAAAGTCCCGTTTCCTAAGCTAGGGGTTTCAGTTGCAAAATTAATCTCACTTTTACAGGCCGTTTCAGAAACAGCATTGTTTTCTTAAAGAGCTCATGTGCTTGTATGGTGTCTGGCTGTGCGAGCTGGCATGGAAAGCGTTTCTGTTCACCGGCACGCAGTAAAGGTAGACTCTGCAGACATGACTTAATTTCTGGAACCCGTGTTTGCCTTTATCACAGCAGACAAACACCCCGTAAGCCCAAATCCAGCACCGGCTTGGAAAAAAGCTGCACAAGAGCGGATCACGGTTTCCCCTTGGAGTAACCACAAGGAAATGTGGTCATTCGCTGTGTCTGACCCATGGGGCCCCGGGAGAGCCCGCTCCGACCCTGCGCCCGGGGCTTTCGGGGGGCGGCCAGGGCTGCGCCGTCGCCTCCTCTCACGTGCAACGCTTCTCCTTGCAGGTGGCCTGCATGCAGTTCATCAACATCGTCGTCCACTCGGTGGAGGACATGAACTTCAGAGTCCACCTGCAGTATGAATTTACGAAGCTCGGCCTGGACGAGTATTTGGATGTGAGTATGAGCCGGGTCTCTACGCCTCGCAGCGTGGGTCTGCCCTCTCGGCGAGGCTGAGCTCTGCCTGGGGGTGCGGGCTGGGGCCACCCGCGGCCATGGAGGGTCCATGCCATGTCCCCCAGCACCGCCGCTGCCCAGCCTAGCCTTAAACCTCCTTAAACCCCCTCAGCCGAGAGCTTTCGGGAGGGCAGAGCAGGGTTTTCCCATAGTCTCCGCTAAAAATGCAGTGCCTTGGCCGCTGGCTGGGGGCTGTGGCCTGGAGCCACCCCTGCAGAAGAAAAATCAGCTGCAACTGACTGCAATTACAGACTGGGAGCTAAATTTGTAGCTTCGCCTTATAACAAAGGGAGGATGAACCGCAGTCGTCCTTGCCCGCGCCACGTCCCTGAGCTCCAGCCGCGGGCTGCAGGCCTCGTGTCAGCCCCAGCTCAGGTACCGCCAGGGTCCCCTCCGCCTCCGTGTGAAAAAGTCCTCCTTTGGGTTTCCTCCTGACAGCCAGGCATTTTCTGGTGTCCTGTGGGAAATCCTCGCTTTCAGAAGAAAGCTGCTTTTCTATTTCCCGTTCCGTATTTTTCTCTCTCTCCCTGTGCCCTTGGGAACACACGCATGAAAACAGTGCTGGTGTTGACGAGGGATTGATTTGTCCCTGCTGACTTCTGCTCAGCAGTAACCGGGAGAGAGGTTTTTTGCTGTCTGCAAGAAGTATTTGTACATGGTGCTACCAAGCGTGGGTCTGTTTGGGGTCCCAGGACGGCACAAATCCTGCAGTCCATCGGGAGCAGGCAGAGCAGTTCAAAACATGCTCTGATGTTCTCTTTGGAGATAAAGCCTGCTCATTTTGAGCACAGCAAACCCAGCACGAGGTCAGCGAGAGCAATTGGCGGATTTGCTCTGGGCCACGTGGCTGCTTTGAAGCCAAGCACAAGGGATGGCCTCACCTCTGCCTACCAGCCACGGAGCCAGTGGCCACCACGGGCAGCAGAAGGGTCAGCCCCGCCGCCCGCCCACCTTGCTGGCCTTGCACCATCCCAGGGCCCGGTCATGGATGCAGAGCTTGCCACAGTCAAGCAGCAAGCACGGAGGAAAGCAGTAGTATCCTCTGTAGTAACATATGAGGGTGGTGAAACACTGGCAGGGGTTGCCCAGAGAGGTGGGAGATGCCCCATCCTTGGAAACATCCAAGGCCAGGCTGGACGGGGCTCTGAGCAACCTGATCTGGTTGGAGAAGTCCCTGCCCATGGCAGGGGGTTGGGCTGGATGGCCTGGAAAGGGCCCTTCCACCCCAAACCATTCTGTGATTCTATGATAAGATAAGATGCTGCGTAGCTTTATTTGAAAGCTCTGGGTGTTTGGTCTTCAAAAATGACTGTTTATCACTTACGACCCCAGCTAATGTTAAAATGCAAAGTGTTTTCCTGGGTGATGGAAGTGGCCTGAGCCCCCGTCGCTCTCCCATCCCATTTGCCGTCTGTGGCCCTCTTGCTGCGAAGGGCTGCCAGTGCTGAGTGACACCCTTGTCTCCTTGGATTTACAGAAACTGAAACACACAGAGAGTGACAAACTGCAGGTGCAAATCCAAGCTTACCTGGATAACGTTTTTGATGTGGGAGCTTTACTGGAGGATGCCGAAACCAAGAATGCAGCCTTGGAAAGAGTTGAAGAACTGGAAGAAAACATTTCCCATGTTAGTACCAAACTTTGTCACCTTTGTCTCTGAAGCAGTTCAGAGCCTGCTCTGCGCAGGGGCTTTGCTACTGCCCGTTTCGGGAGGTGGAAGCACAGGCACAGCGGGGCTGCAACCTCTGGGCTGAGGGTCACTTAGAAAAAGCCTTAGGACTGCGGTGCTTCTGTATTGGGGGAATAATCAGATATTTGGCAAGCGAAGGAATTCGAGAGATCTCAGGCAGGTAAACTTCCTGGGAGCTTTCATGCTATATGTTGAACCTCATATTCTGCATGTTTTAGTTAACAGGTGCCCCACTGGCTACAAAGATTTGTTCATAAGCTGTTTATTGACCTGATGAGAAAATACCTCATTCTGTCATTTTATTTACTCTCCTATCTGACACAACCCCCAGCTTCTTATAAAGCAGCAGCATTGCCTTGTTAACGTGGGGCTTGACACGCCGTTTTTGTGCACATCAAGGGACAGCTTGGCCTGTGCTGCGCCGTGCCTGCCCCTCCATGCGCTTACATGGCCACGGCTGCAGCGCTCGCACACCTCGCTAGCGTCGGCCCGTTCATCCCCCGAGCGCCGCGGTGAGCTGGGAGGGGATGGACCCCGGGCGGGGGCCCAGCCGAGCAGAGGGGCGCAGCCCCGAGGCCCTGGCACGGCAGGTTTGCAGCTGCGCAGGCTTCAGCTTCGGTTCGGCTGCCGTTGCAGGTGGAGTCGCTTGGTGCACGGAGCCTCTGCAAAGAGTTCTCTTACGAGCTGGGAAAGCTAATTTGCATGGAAATTGCAAATTCCTCAGCAATGCAGTACTGGTAAATAGAGCAGATAACCATCCTGTCTGTGTCTTAAAACATTACTGGGCTCCGGAGGTAAGGGACTGAAAAATAGTGCTGTGCAGGTATTCACTGTTTGCTCAAGGCTTTTCTGTCCCGTCCCTTTTTGGTGTCAGGTACTTTAGTCCAGAAAACACGGCTTGGCTGTTTTAAATATAAAATGATTTCCATGTTAAAAAAACAAAACATAAAAGGGTCATTCTGTTACCATTCCTGTATGGCCGCCACTTAGAATAAATACGTTCTTAAAACAACTCGCTGTGCAGTATTTGCCTCTCTCAGGTGCTCTTCTGCTAGAGAAAAGTGATCCAGTAGAAATGGCACCATTTGCTTCATGATCATCTCCTTTTAGCTGCTTGGAAGCTTAATGGTTTACTCTGGTGGCACATTTTTAAGGGCTTGCTTCTGATCTCTCGTTACATAAACTAGACTCATCCCAGGAGTGTGGACATAATTTTCTGTCATGTGCTGACAGAAATACTAATAATAGAATTGCAGAAGTTTTATCTCAAAAACACAGCGACTGACACCACCTCACCACCTCTGCAGCCTCGCCTGAGTCGGCGTGATTGGTGGTGATGGAAAAAGCCAGCAAGAACAGCGGGGCTTTCAGATCCCAGGTTTGCGGGGCTGGCAGAAAATAAAAATAAATCAAAAGACCATGGGGGAAAAAGAAAAAAACACGTCATTCCTTACTAATTAAATTAGCCTCATTGTGAGAGGTGATATTTATAGGTTCCACCATTTCAGCATCTATTCGTTTTGCAACAGTGCCACTGTGGTATTCTGTGGGGTTTCAGGGTTTCGGATCAGGCTTGGTGTGTATGAAAATAATTGCATTTTCAGTACTTTATTGTAGAGTAGGCTTTCTTACCTGGACGGGTTCGTAGCTACAGTCCAGCCAGGTTCCCTGCTGGTCATAGCTGAGGGATAACATTCATCATCAGAGGAACCTTCACCGGGGCACTTAGCGTCCCCCGATTGCATGCAGGAACCCTCTCTCTTTCCAAAGAAAGACTTCAGGGTTTGGTAGATTATCGTTAATGTACAACGTACCACTGCTCCGGCAAGCGTTCCTGACATTTTGTTTGAGAAAACTACTGTTATCCACTTATATGATCTGTTTCTCTTTTGAATGATAGTTATCTGAAAAACTCCAAGATACGGAGAACGAAGCCATGGCAAAGATTGTGGAACTGGAAAAACAGCTTATGCAAAGGAACAAAGAACTGGATGTGATTCGGGTAGGTGCGAGGGGAGAGCTCTGGCTGGGTGCCACGCTGCAGGGTAGCGATCTCCTGTGCGCTCTGTGTTTGGGAGGTAGTGACTCTTAATGGGCCAAGTGGCTTCTGGTAGCTTCCTCATTTTGAACCTAGGACAGATTTCAAGTAGAATTATTAGTGTGTGCGCTCAAAGATGGCCATGAAGCTCTTTGAATGTGCCAGCAAATCGGTAAATGAGGCAGGTACCTCTTGTCACTCAGGTCTGTAGCATCTGTGTTGGAAGTTTTGCACGTGTGGTTGGCTGCGGAGGGGCGTTGGAGGAGGACCTGGAGCCTTTCACACTTGGGCTGCACAGCAGCAGGACGGGAGCAAGTGCCCTGGGTCTGTGCTGTCAAGTGCAGCCAGCTTTCCGTGCACAATCCAGGCTCGTTACATCTTGGTGTACAAGCTTAGTAACAAAAATTATTAGTATAAGATTAACTAACTTCAGCCTAAATGTCGTCCCAAAGTGTGGTGCTTCTAGGGTTCCTTCGGAGGGTCTGCCCTGGGTGCTTGCAGGTACAATCTCCCCTCCGGATCAGGAGCTCTGTTCCTGCTTCCCTTTCCAGGCCAACATCTGCTCATAGGTAGAGCAACCAGCAAGGCATCAGATACTCTCTGTTAAAGTCAAAATCGAGGTAGCACACCTACGCTATATGGTTAAGACTAGCATAAGAAATGGGAGACATCATGAAAAAGTGATGATGAGAAATTCTGTACCCCCAGGTGTTGGTGCCCTCAGGTGAGATTTCTCCCAGGACGCAGTACTGTGCACAGCCTTGCTGCTAGCTTGGGAAAAACACAAAATGAATTCTTGCTCGCCAACAGATGTGTGATTTGCATCGAAGCTCCTTGTACGATAGTGCCTGGTGCAGCGACCATCCTGTGTCAGGCTCTTCTGTGTCTGGTACTGGTATTCTGTTTTGTGAGTACAAGTGCAAATTCCTTCTTTCTGCGGCATTCTCAGGAAATCTACAAAGATGCAAATACCCAAGTTCACACCTTGAGAAAAATGGTGAAAGAAAAAGAAGAAGCCATCCAGCGACAGTCCACGCTGGAGAAAAAGATCCATGAACTGGAGAAGCAGGGAACCATTAAGATCCAGAAGAAAGGTGATGGTGACATCTCTATCCTTCCTGTTGCTCTGGCCTCTGGGATGGTGCCAGCAGGGTCAGAGGCTGTGGCTGGCACATGTGTCGCACCGGTCACTGGAGCTGCATCTTCAGTACCATTGCCACCACCTCCACCACCGTTACCCACCTTAGCAGCAGCATCTGAGGCAGGTAAGAAGCATTTTGGCCCCAAGAGGTGGGCTGGCCGGGAGCTGGAGGTGCGGTTCCTCGTGCCGGGGACAGTCACAGCAGCCTTACACTGACAAAACCGCTGTCAGTTGTCACGAGCCTGCAGGTCACGGCACCTTGCAGCAGCCGAGGATGCTGAGGTCCCCCAGCTGCCTTTGTACTCTCACTCTCTGGGTGGCTCCTGTGCTTGTCTGATCCATCTCTGAGACCTTCAGTCAACAGAAAAAAATACTAGCTTCTTTCGTTAGGATAGTTTCCTCCTCTCTTAATGCACTGAAGTACTTTGGTGAAGGGTCCAACAAACGCTGGGGCCAGTATAGTGGTGGGGAGGAGATGTATAGCGGGGGACAAGGTGGATGTTGTGACTTTTTCTGTGCTGCTTATAATATTTTGATCAGTGTTCACCTTAATACCTTGTTTTTCCTTCGTTTCGTAGTGCAAAACGGTCCTGTGTCGGTGCCGATGCCGCCTCCGCCACCGCCTCCACCGCCACCTCCGCCGCCCCCACCACCGCCTCCTCTCCCAGGTCCAGCTTTGGAGACGGCTCCTGCGGCTCCCCCCCCCCCCCCCCCGCCGCCCCCCCCCCCGCCTCCTCTCCCAGGTCCAGCTTTGGAGACGGCTCCTGCGGCTCCGCTGCCCCCGCCGCCCCCACCGTCGGCACCCCCCCTGCCCGGGACAGCCTCTCCTACCGTGGTGTTCAACTCAGGGCTTGCAGGTAAAATGCCCGCGCGTCTCCCCAGCGTGCTGTGGCTTGCTGGTGAAGTCAGCAAAGGCAAGGTCAGGGCACGTTGGCTGGAGTGGACAGGGTATCGAGGTGGGGCTTTGCTACTCTTAATCACCTAAATAATACCCGTTATCTCTTACTGGTATTATGCTTAGAGGGGTTTATAAAAGGAAAGAGCATTTATCAACCAAACAGTTTTGGTTTGGTCTGGAAGAGAGAGCTTTTTCAGTGAAACTAAAGCTATTGCCAAAAATATTTTTCAAACATGATCATTTTTGGCGTTAAGCAAACAAAATATGGTTTTGAAAGAAACACAAAGCTTCATGGTTTTGATTTCTTCTGAGAACTCAATGAAGAAATATCTGTGCAAAATATGGCAAAGTTTTTGTAATTTTTTGGAAGGAAGAAAAATTTACTGGCCATCATTAATAATGCTTTTATGCACTCTCTGAGATACGCCAAGCAAGTAAATGCTAATTAGTATCGTACCGCTTCCCCCCAGGAAATCTCCAGAGCAGGATACGAGTCCAGAAAGAGAAACTGAGGAGCTCTGATTAATAGCTTTTTTTTTTTTGAAAACTGATTAAGTATTCCAGCCTTTAAAGTTTCTTCTGAAAGCGAAAAGCATCATGGAACTAGAGGGTCCCAGGGTGTATTTAAAAAAAAAAAAGGCACAAAAACCCCCACGGGCTGGTCCCTCGCCGAGGGGTTTGGCAGAGCAGGAGGGGGTCCCGCGGCGCAGAGGGCAGGGGGTGCTGGCTGTGGCCGCCGTGGTGCTCAGGGGGCTGCGGGGGCACGGGAGCTGCTGCGCGCAGCAGGGGGTTGTGCCGCCCGGTGCCTGGCCACCGTGCCTCAGCCCGGCATCCCCCCGGTGTTATGTGCGGGTGGGAGCAGCGGAGCAAGCCCTGCTTCTGCGTGTGGCTCCTCTGAGCCGCACCGAGGGCAGGGGCAAGCCCCGCAGCCCAGCTCCTCGCTTAGGTGCCTGGGTGAGATGCCCACAGCCAGCTGGGATGGATATTTTGTTCTTCGGTGGGTTAGGAGAGGCAAGGAGGGTGAAAGCGCCTTTTGTTGATGCGATGGCTGTGCAGAAAGGAGCGTTTCTCAGGGCAGGAACCTTCTGTGTCAGAGGGGAGTCAGTGAAATAACAGATTTTGCTTTTCTGACTATTACTAACATTTTTTTTCTCTGTTCTTTCTGCTTCCTTCTAAGATGGGCCAATCAAGCTCTTCTGTAGGTTGCTTTCTGCTAAGTATTTCGCCACCTCCCCACGTTTCCCTCTGTGCTGTGCCTGTTTGTGTGCCCATGGACTCCTGCGGGCGATGGGGAGGCGGCGGGGAGGGGGGAGGCTGGCGCGGGGGCTTGCTGGATGGAGCCGGAGCACGCAGTAGCTGTGGGGATGCTGCCAACCATCAGGATTTGGCACCCGGGAGGCCCTGATTCAGCAAAGCACTTCAGCAAGTAATTAAGACGTGCGGTTTCTTTTGAGCCCTCCTCGAGCCGCGCTCTCGGCACCCGTCACGCCGAGGACAGGCTTTTCCCAGCGAGGCCGAGTGCGGAGCTGCGGCAGCTTTCGCCGGCTGCGGGTACCCTCTGCAGGGCCTGGCCCCCAGCCGTGACCGCGTCCCCACTGCGCTGCCGGCAGCGGCACGACTCCCGGGGACGTCACCTTGCCAGGGCTCTGTGACCGAGGAGGAAGGGAAATTTTAAGAGATTTTGATGAGCTACATCAGGAACTGGCCCACGAGGCAGTTCGCTTCCTTTCCTGTCCTGGAATAACCCAGGAGCAGTTAATAATCTATTCTCATGGATGTGCAACTGGAAAATGTTTTTTTTCATGGGTGTTTCAGATGGAAAAAGCTATTTCTTTTTTTTATTTTAGGAATTATGTTGAAGTAACCACATTAATTAAGCAGCGTAAAACTCAGTTTAGTTTAGATGAGCAGAAGTTGATCACGTGTGTTCCTGTCTTCCAATTGGATGAATATAATTCTCCAAATACACAGACTTTCAAGCTGAATTTCGTATATGTTTCCTGTTACTCACTTACGGTTCTTTGTTTCAAGCAAATACTCTTGCCAGTATTATTCTTTGTGATGTCCCTGCAAAATGAGCACGAGCTTGAAAGGGACATGGACACACAACTCGACTCCTGTCGTAAAAGTGGAATGACAAAGCGAGAGAAATGTTTTCAGCATTCACCCATCTCCGGCGCACAACAGGCCTGTCCTCTGAAATAGGTCCTCTCTATCCTGGCAAAAACGTACATACAGAGTCGTTAGGGGAAAGTAAAATAATTATTTGCTCAAGTGCTTTGCAACCTGGGAGCCCGGCCATCTTCTGAAACCGAGGGGAAAAAATGTAGCATCTCTACAGAGCATCGAATATTTGGGAAGATTGCTCCTGCTGCAAATGCGGGGTAGGCAGGAGTCAGGAGCAAACCCCAGACTGAACGAACGCAGACGTGGTCCGTCCCCGGCGGGGGAGCGGGGCTGTGCCCTGCACGCCTCTCTGCCGCTGCCGGCCGCGGCGGGCTGGGTGGCTCTTTTATCCAGCGCTGGAGGGGAAGGACCAGGGTTTCTGCTTCGTGTTTGCAGCTTGGAAAGAAACAGTTTATTTTCTAAGTAATTCGGGAGCAAAACGTTGATTCATCGCTTTAATGAACATCCTGATTTTGTAGCAACTAGCAACTTCATGTTTACATCAAGATACAAAGAAATGAGAACTGAATTACAGAAATTATTCATGGACCTTCCAGGCCTGTTAGGAATAGGAATAGAAAAGTATTGTTTTCCTTGCTCCGACATGGCTTTTTTGTACTCTGTTCACAGATTAATGAGAGTAGTCAGTCTTCATTTTCATAGCTTCTCTGACTAAGTTACTAAATCGTTTACTGGCTCTGCACAGCACAAGAAGATTAAAGCTGTTATTTCAACCACGTTAGAGCTCACGCGTGCTGCAGCCCACCCCTTTTGCTTTAAAAGACAAACCTGGCCAGCAGCAGCACTGCCCCATGGCAGCAGGCAGTGAGAGGGGCCACTCTCTCTACCAGAACCTTGGGAAAGGGTTTTTTTTTTATTATTTCTTGTCACCTATTCTGTGTTGAGTTTTGTGACACAGATCAGCTGTGCACGGCTGCGCATCAGCTCGCCCCGGGGTGGGCTCTGCAACCAGCAGGACAGGGTTAAATTCGACCGCTCTCTCCATTTTCTGTAGCATTTAAAAATAGCCTGGGCTTTTAAATCAACCCAGGCAACATGCGGTAATAAAGTAATAACACATTTCCTCTAGCGAAGTTTTCACAGCCTCTGGCGTTCAGTCCGGTTCTGCAGAGGCTGGGCCTGAGACAGCCGAGGCGCTGGGTGGAAGCCTCGGCGCTGTTTGCCCCTCAGGGCAGCGAGATCCGTCCAGGCTTTCCAGTGCGATCATTTAGCTCTGGCCAGTTCTTCCTCCAGTGCTGAAATGCCAACTCAGAAGCTTTGGTCTGGGCACGCGAGGTGTTTTTCAGCAGTTGGGGAATTTGTCGTTTCTTCTCCTCTGCTGTCTTTAGCTGTGAAAATCAAGAAGCCGATCAAGACCAAGTTCCGCATGCCGGTGTTCAACTGGGTCGCCCTCAAACCCAACCAGATCAATGGGACGGTCTTCAATGAAATAGATGACGAAAGGATCCTGGAGGTATGAGTGTTGCTTGCCGCCTTCTGCCTCCCACTTCTGTCCATAAAACAAGCGAATATCGGTCTTTGCAGGGATAGATCACAGCAATTATTTTGGCAAACAGCTCGTCCAGTGGCCCCTGGTACCCAGTAGGTCAACGTGAGTGCCTTGCTTGAGAATTAGGGATGGTAGCTGGCAGTATCGATTATAAAGGGTGCGTACCTGTTGTGTGCATTTGTTTAAAACAGATCAACCAAGATGAGGAAGATGCATTTTTCCCAGCCTAAAATTGCTGGTCGGGTCTGTAGGAGTTAGGCTTGGCTGGGTGGCTGCGTGCCAGGGAGCGGAGCCTAAAGCAGCACAGAGCGGAGCTGAGTACGCAGGTCTTGCATGCTCCCCGTGCCCTGAAGAGGCACATGGCTGGATGAAGCCTGAGTTCAGGAATGTTTTCCTGAACTTCTGAACGTGTATGGGGCCATTGGGGGTGGAGGCCACATTTCCTGGTCCCTGACTCAGGAGCGCTCGTTCGTTGCATCCTGCAGCCCCTGATCGAAGTACTCTGCTGTAGCCACGGCGTCGCAGGGTTTGTACTGCAGTTCGGGCACAATATTAGGCAGCGCGGGTTTTGTGAATCATTTTCTTTCCTTTTTAGGATTTAAATGTGGATGAATTTGAAGAAATATTCAAAACAAAAGCCCAAGGTCCAGCCATTGATCTCACTTCAAGCAAGCAAAAGATAACTCAGAAAGGGTCAAACAAAGTCACGTTACTGGATGCCAACAGGGCCAAAAATCTTGCCATTACTTTAAGAAAAGCTGGAAAGACGGCAGATGAAATATGCAAAGCTATTCACGTGTAAGTAAAACCCTTGTCGGCAAAGAAATCGTGTTTAAGATTTACTGTGATTTTTGGTAAGTGGAATGGTTTTGAATTGGCAGTTGATGTAAATGTTTTTGCATCTGGAAAAAATCCAGGAGTAAGGATGGAACCATTCTGAATTCCCAGAAATCAGATCCCCTTGAACTAAAATGAAAAACGTGCAGTTTTAAGTTGCTGTATCACTATTCAGGCTTAACAAATTAACACTTATTTTATTAAAGAAGCTAATTCACGTATATCCGCAGTATGCCATTGCATACTGCATCTCTCATTCTGTTTGCACGGTACTTTCTGTTATAATGAACACCCAAAAGCCAGAGTATCAGGAAGAGGCAACTCTTTCAGTTTGCTCCGTAAAGCACGAGTTTAGTCCAAGTGCGCTGGAAGGGTTTTGCGTAGAATGAGGTTGATGGAACGGCCCCAGGCAGTGCCAGACGCCAGCATGATGCAGGTGTGCCCAAGGTGCACCGCGCTGATACGGACCCTTGCCTGCCGACTCCAGCAGCTCCCGGGGATGGAGCACGGGTGTACCCGCTCCTTGGGGCTCATCCCGAATCCATCCAGAAGCGCTTGGTACTCGTGGCCATCACAAACATCTGCCATTTCTCCGTTAAGAAGTATCTTCAAAATTTGGAGGCACAAGCCTTACCTTTGGGCTGGGGAGGAGGGTGACCCAAACCTGCTGCAGGTTGAGGCAGGGTGCGGCGTTGGGGGTGAAAAGGGGCGGGGCCGCGTAACTGCGAAGACTCCAGCAGCTCCCGGGGATGGAGCACGGGTGTACCCGCTCCTTGGGGCTCATCCCGAATCCATCCAGAAGCGCTTGGTACTCGTGGCCATCACAAACATCTGCCATTTCTCCGTTAAGAAGTATCTTCAAAATTTGGAGGCACAAGCCTTACCTTTGGGCTGGGGAGGAGGGTGACCCAAACCTGCTGCAGGTTGAGGCAGATTCAGCAGTTGGGGTTTACAGGGCTCTGGCCCAATTAACTGAAACTGCGATTTGCTCCTCCCTGCATATCTTCTCTGATAAAAATGAGGGTTGGGGGGAATGACCACATCTTTGAGAACAGAAAGAAGGTTCCCAGCAGCACCGTTCACATCAGCACGGTAACCTTCTTCACATCTTCATGTGCAGAGAGCTTCACGTGCAGGACCATGCCCCCCACCCCAGGCAGGGCAGCACGAGCAAGGAGTAATTTTCGGCTTCTTTATGGTTTCTCACTGCTTTACTGACTCGGGCTTACGTGGAGCTGAGCAGTGTAGGAGGCAGGGCTGCCTGTGGCAGCTTTCTCACTCCTTTTACTTTTCCATCATTTTGTGTAGAGCCTTGTGGTAGCGCCACTTCTTCTGGTTTGGTATCACGCAGGTTTGACCTGAAAACGTTGCCGGTGGATTTTGTTGAATGCCTCATGCGGTTCCTGCCCACCGAGAATGAAGTGAAAGTGCTGCGGCTCTACGAGCGGGAAAGGAAACCCATCGAGAACCTGTCCGACGAAGACCGGTTCATGATGCAGTTCAGCAAGATTGAGAGGCTGATGCAGAAGATGACCATCATGGCGTTTATAGGCAACTTCGCAGAAAGCATCCAGATGCTGACCCCGGTGAGTGAGGGACAAGCCCTGGGGGCTCCTGGGGGCTGCGTTGGCTCCGCGGGGACCGGGCCTTCCTGGGGGTTCAGGCTGCCCTTGGGAGCTGCGCTCTGCGGTGCGGGTCAGCTTGCGGGCAGCATTGCAGCCGTGCGAAGCTGGGGGCCAGTCGGTGAAGGTTATAGAGACTTTAATTTTTCTGAGGCAGAGAGGTGGTTTGAGTGTTGTGGAGTGATTATCAGTTCTCACGGAGACAGAGCAAGGAACAATTACACAAATGAGAAAGTGGTTTTCAAGCTGTATTTTCATATATCAATGACTCTGATATCCCAGGTGCTGTTTGTACCCTGGACTGCTCCATACTGTCCTATTTCTTTACCCTGTAGAAGTTTAAAACCGGTTTACATGAAAACCTAGTTGTTTGTATCATCAGGGAAAGTTATTATCAGTGCTGGTCCGTGGGCTCTCTGAAGTGTGTCCCATTCAGCCCGACGACGTATCTTTCGCAGTCATAAGGACTGAAATGTAAATACACTTTTACCCAACCACATCTGAGTGTGGTAAATCCGTGGTGCAAATGAATTGTTTGATATCCTGGTGTGTCAGGGCAGGATAACATTCATGCTAGGGCCCACGGTATGGATGAAAACCGAGGTTTTTTTCAGAATGTGAGTGTTTAGATTTTAATTTTACTCTTGGGTTGGACATGCATTAACCAAAGCTCTTCCTGTGTTTTCCTGCAGCAACTTCACGCAATAATAGCTGCATCTGTGTCAATAAAGTCATCCCAAAAGCTTAAGAAAATACTGGAGGTAGGTCTGATTTTAGATACGTTCAATAGCTCCGTCACTCACGGGTGCATCCCCTTACGTATACTGAAGCTGTACGTGGATGCTGACATACCAGCTCTCCTTCCAGAGGTTTCTAAAGCAATGTGCATTTGTCCTGAAAATTCATGCTCTGCTCTGTTTCATCCTGGCAGATAATCTTGGCTCTTGGAAACTACATGAACAGCAGTAAACGAGGAGCTGTGTATGGATTTAAGCTACAGAGTTTGGACCTGGTAAGTCAACCAGAGGTGCCTCGTGGGGCCCAGGTGGGAACGCATTTCACATACACGGCGAGTGGCTGCTGGGGCACTCGGTCGGTGCTTCCCAGCCGGTGAGGGCAGAGCGGCAGCGGGGAAGGCGCTCCCTGCCAGGCGGCGTGAGTTTGCTTTGCTTATTGTTGTTTTGGGGGGGCACTTAGGAGAAGGCACGTGTCCTCAGAGGCTCCGCAGACCACAGCTTGAAAACCACCTGCTAAACACTTAAAGGAGCTTTTACAGGCATCCCTATCAGATGGACAGCCACCAGGGAGAGGCGAGCACCGGTTGAGTCACTTTGCTTGGGGCCTGCTGCACCTCCACCCAGCAACCTCTTTGCCTTCTCTCCCCAGCTCCTAGAAACAAAGTCAACAGACCGAAAGCAGACCCTGCTGCACTATATTTCTAATGTGGTCAAGGAGAAGTACCAACATGTCTCCCTCTTTTACAACGAACTTCATTACGTGGAGAAGGCTGCTGCAGGTACTGTCTCCCTCCTGTGCCTGGCCAGTGGTGGTGGCACGTGTGCCACCCGAGGGACTTCACGGCACACCGCACATGGGCTGTGGGGGCATTTCTTGGTGGGGAATTGTTCAGGCTGTGGGTTTGTGTGCTTGTGGACCAGGAGCAATGCAGCGTTTTTATTTCCTAGTGTCTCTTGAAAACGTCCTCTTGGACGTGAAGGAGCTGCAGAGGGGTCTGGATCTGACGAAGCGCGAGTACACCATGCATGACCACAACACGATGCTGAAGGAGTTCATTCAGAACAACGAAGGGAAGCTAAAGAAACTGCAGGATGACGCCAAAATAGCCCAGGTGTTTCTTTATTCTTGGGGTTTGGTGAGGGGGTGAATAGCAGCATGTCACTGCAAAGGATGTGCTTTTATAGACGCAGCAGGGAGGAGAAGGCGCAGCAATGTTGTGGATTTGTTCCTGAGTTCACGTGCTAGATGTAGACGTGCTGGTCTGAGCCAAGGGTTTCTAGAGGAAATCTAGACCCTTTACGCTGAATACTGCAGTAATGGATGGTGACTTTATCTTGAAATAAGTGCAATGCAGTAAATCTGTGCTTTCTGTAGGATGCCTTTGATGATGCTGTGAAGTACTTCGGGGAGAATCCCAAGACGACACCCCCCTCGGTCTTTTTCCCAGTGTTTGTCCGGTTTGTGAAGGCCTACAAGGTAAACAGGACCATCCTCCTCTTCTCTTCTGTCCCTCTGAGCCCAATTCGGGGTGCCCAACCGAACAGCTCGTGGCTCCCTCTAGCTTTGACGCAACGTGAGCCATCCCCGACAGCACGGCAGCGCCAGCCCGGGGCAGCACAAATAGTTGTTTTGGGATTATTTTCAGGGCTGAAAGACAACACGGCTATCTGAGACGCTGGAGGAATCTTCAGAAATGTCATGTCTGGGCGGCTGCCGCTTGCACCTTTAACCCTGAATACACGTCTTTTGGGACTGGGAGAGGATGGGATGGTTTGTGCGACCTAGGAAGGTCTCTCCCAGCCCAGTTTTTTCCGACTGTGTTCAGAGGCAGCTAAATTGCTCCACCTGAGCTTGCTTCCTTGGAAAGCCCCACGGTAGCGAGTGATAGTGTTCCTCATTTGTAATGTTTAGGTTCCCTCCGGCAACTGGAAGCTCTAACCTGTGCTTTTTTTGTGATAAATAGCAAGCAGAAGAAGAGAATGAGTTGAGAAAAAAGCAGGAACAGGCCTTAATGGAAAAACTTATGGAGCAAGAAGCATTGATGGAGCAACAGGACCAAAAGGTATGAAACAGATATCTCTTACAGGCAGGAGCCATCATGTTCATGTGTTTTTCCTGGTAGTTCAGAAACCTCAGCTCTGTATAAGAACTTCAGTTGCCCAACGTACAGTTGCCTCTAAATAGAGTCACTGGAAGTTCTCTCCTTATGGGGAGGGAAACAAAACAAGCTAAGAGAATACAAGTGTATGGTTCTGTCACTTCGAAGTCTGCAAAATTAAGAAAAACTGAAGAGAGAAGTCATCTCGTCCACATTGCCGTTAGCTAAACTTTGTTCTGCTCTGGCCTTGATTCTGTTAAAACCTCGCTGGTGCCCAGCGTGCAGAGCCTCCCGTTGCGTACAGGGACAAGGAACGATCGCCCCGGATCCTCCCCCGTCAGAGCGTGGCAGCAGGACCCGGCCTCACATTACCGTTTTATAGGAATTTTCCTGAGGTGTTTGGGTTTCTTTTTTTTTTCTGAGGTGACACTTCAGATTGGCTGGAGAAAGCTTCCCATGGCTCTAAAACAGCCACTTTGTTGGCTGGTGCTGCTTCCCACAAGAGCTGGTGGGATCTTTAATCCCAGCCAAGCTTTTTCCCGCGGAAGGAAAGCCTGTTCGCCCTGTTCCCCTGATGCTTTTCAGAGGTGAGAGCTTGGAGCTCCAGTTCCAAGTGATGAGAAGGCTTGGAAGTAGATTACAAATGTAAGAAAGAAAAGCAGCTTGGCAGCCAGGTTAACTTGTGACTCTGCCCGTCCTCTCCATGGGCCGTGAGCTAACCGCACGCGTGTGTTCGCCCGGTCTTGCAGAATTGGGCAGAAAAGTGGCAATTACTGCTTGCCAATTGCTTCGCGTTCGGGAAGAGAGAAGCAGGGTCGCTGGAGGCCGGTCCTTACAGGTCCTCTCTTCTTTGCTTTCAGTCTCCTTCACATAAAACAAAGAGACAGCAGCAAGAGCTGATTGCAGAGCTCAGGCGGCGGCAAGTCAAGGATAACAGGCATGTGTACGAAGGGAAGGACGGTGCTATTGAAGATATTATAACAGGTAAACACCCTTTGTTCCGCAATCTCAGAGGCCCTTTCACAAAGGATAAAAATGTGTATCTGCCTAGTAGCTATTGTAAGTGCTTCGTGTACTTCTTAAAAAAGCGTTACTGGAGCACAGCTTAGGGCATTGTTTACGGGATGTAAATCAGGTATAGAAACTTTTGCTAACGGTACGGAACAAAGCCCCGTAGCCTGCCTTGGCGTGGCCGCTGCCAGCGCTGCGCGCGCGGGCCTCGGGGACACGCTCCGTTTCAGTTCTTCTCTTTCAGCATGTGGGGACGTACTCGGTCTCTGATCTTTAGTGTTGCCAGTGCAGTGCCTCATCTCAGCAGATGCTCCGGTGGGGATGTGCATGCTGTGCAGATCTTTCCCAGAAACCTTTTTTCCCCCATAAATGGAATGAATGACGGATGTTTAACATTATTAAGAGCCTACATTTTCATTAAAATGTACTAACAGTAATTGCACCACATTATTGCACAGTTACAGCAAATCATTTAGTCAAACCTGAATGATTTATGACCCTAAACTGCTTCTGGTTTTACTGCTTCTCAGTTTGGTAGGCAAAGTCTGCACGGACCCAGCCTAGGGAGAGGGACGGCGAGGGGCAGAACCCGCTGTCGTAGCCAGAGACGGTCAGGACTTTGGTGCAAATATTTGCTGATAAAAAGAGCTGCCTTCTAAACTGCATTTTGCTCAGGAGCCAAACAATTTTTAATGTGTACAGCTCCTCTGATGGCAGTACTTTGATTTTACTGCACGTTCTTCACCCGTGGTGTGAAAGGAACACGATTTTAACCCTTCGGTAGCTTTACAGTGCTTGGCTTCCATTGCGCAGAAGTGCAAAAAAGAGGTCTTTGGGCAGGATTTCCTTGGCTACTGCTCCTGAATGTTTTCACATGAGTTTCTCCTGCAGGAGGGGAGGAGAGCTGTTTTACCGCTCGCTAAGGAAAGCCAGGGAATTTTTGCCCGACGAGATGACAGGGCTGAAATGCTTGAAGCTTTCACAACTCTTTTTAACCTTGATTAATAGCTTCCTAAGATAATATTCTTTATTTAAAGGGCAGAGTCGTTATAATATCTAATCTGTTACTGCTTCTGCAACTCCTGCAGACTCCTGGAAGCTTGTTTAATTGGTAAAGTGGTTCTCCTGCTCTGTGGGAGAAACAGATTGTGTGGCAGAAGACCATCCACATGCAAAAGGCAGTTCACTGGAGCGAGTGCCAGCCTCAAATTAAACATTTCCTATGGGCTTGTGCCTCGGATTTCCCAGGACGGGCCTGTCTCTGAGGGCCTCAAGCCACGTCGTAATGAAGGTTAGGCACAGAAAGTCAGGCAGGACCAAGGTCACTTGAATACGGCCCATGAGGTCTCTGTCAATGGTATGGAAATGGTTGAAAGTGTCGTTTTAAATTGGATAGCGCCTGATCAGATGCACAGAAAAGCCCTGCTGATCCGGAGCAGAGCCCTGTCTGATAACACACCCTTTTCTGGAGCACGGTTAGCAATAGCCTCTCAAAACCATTGCAAAACGATGTCACGTAAGAACTGCTTCTTCAAAGACTTACAACTGCCTTGTTGCCAAAGCCCACTGAAGTGCAGCGATTAGACAGCTGGTTGGAACACGTCCGACCGTCCCTGGGTGTCCGTAACCGAGCACTAACACTGTACTAATGCGATAGATCCGCTTCTCACGGCTCTGTTTGTCTGTTTGGCTGTTATTCCCATGCAGTGCTGAAGACTGTGCCCTTTACCGCTCGAACCGCCAAGCGGGGCTCTCGGTTTTTCTGCGAACCTGTTCTCACTGAGGAATTCCATTACTAAACTATTCCTCTTTCACATCTGATGCTCTTAGAAAAAAGAAAGGTTGCTGTAGATTTTTGACACTTCTCCATTTGTACGGATCTCAGCCAGGATCATGTGAATGTTGAGTGTATAGTAATGTCCAGCGTCCACCGAAGTTGTATTTATGTCACCTCTGTTGCATGTTCTTGTGTTTCAGTAACTTCTTATTCCATCCCATCGACTTTGCGCTTGATGCTTTTGGCCATCCTTGCGTTTCAAAGGCATCTCTCACCTGCACGACAAATGCCATAGAACAGCAAGTGGTGGAAGTCGCGGTAGATTCGGTGCGGGTTTCCTACGGTCCACGAGGCTTAGGAGATCAAACGCAGTCAAAAAGTGACAGTTCACTTGGCTTTTCTATGGCATCTCTTGTGGCCTACAGATCTTCCCCTGTACGCCAGTCTACCTTTGTAAAATGCATGTAATACGTCAGCTGTATGCCAAAGCAAAATTACGGGCTGCATGACCTGAGCGGGACTTTCCTGGGGTTTGCTTTCTGGCTTGGAAGGGTTGTCTGTAATAACGTACGTCCTCTGCGAGGAGTGGTGTGGTTTAGACGCTTTAACCAGCACCTGCATGTTTGTCTGCATGTGCGATACGGGATGAAATGAACAGCATAAAATCTTTTCTCATTCGGTCACATCCATATTTAACTTTTTTCAGTTCCATGCCAACTTTATCTAAATAAAATCAGAGGTGTTTACTGAGCACGAACCAGTTCCAGTTCGCTGGGACCCTGTGCCGTGCTGGGGCCGGGCTCGGTAGCAGCAGCGGCGCACGAACCGGGGGGGCGGGGAGGAGCAGGGCTGGGGAAAGGCGCCGTTATTTGCCAGAACCGCAGAAACGGTGACGATGAAAAGCTTGACATGGAACTGAGCGATTTACATCGTGTGGTGTAGAGCGTGAGGAGGGTGTGTTTAACCCCGCATGTCTGTTAACACTGTTGTCTTGAATTAAGGACTCAGCGGCTTAAGAAGACAACAGTGTTTCACTTTTGCGATATGTATTTTTATGAATGCTTCTAATAAAATTGCGAACTATAATCAGCTCAACGGTCATTTGCTCTGTCGAGTTAATTGCTGTATTATCTTCCTGGAGCCAATCTTCAAAGCAGCTTGGAATTTGGTTAGCGAGGGGCGAGGGTGGCCCTCCTGTCCTCTCCTCTCGGTGCCTAACCTCCTCTCGTAGCCTCGCCCTCGCCCCCTCTTGCTCTGTTGGCGAACGTGCCTGGGAGTTTTGAACGCTGAATTGACTTGCTCTTCATTTTCCATCCCATTTTTTACTTAACCATCATTTTGTGTTTTGTTTTGTTTTGTTTTTTTTTCTGTTTAGCCCTAAAGAAGAATAATATCACTAAATTTCCAAATGTTCACTCGAGGGTAAGGATTTCTTCTAGCACACCGGTGGTGGAGGATACACAGAGCTGGCAAGCATCACTTTTTACTTAGCTTCCTCCTCTCTCTGTATGCCAGGCAGCCTGTGGGTAGATGTGGCTAATACTGGTGAGAGCCTCGGGCCAGTGGAGACTGAGACCCTTTATTCCCCCCCGTGGCGCAGGGGATCCATAGGCCCTGGGCTGGTGACCGTCTTCAGACTCGCTCCGTTTTGGCCCGTTCTCTTCCAAGTTTAGCCCCAGATAGCAGCCTTGTCCCCAGGCTGTTTCAGCCCCGTAGTTCCCTGGATGTTCTGCTGCTCCATCTCGGCCCCGCTACGGCCACCGAACGGGACGGGAGAGATGGACAACCAGCAGCTCCCAGCGTGGAGGTGGGAGAGGGCGGCCTCGAGCAAAGGCACCTTCTGCTGGGGTACACCGAGAGCTGGCAAGTTTGGGAGTTGTATTTAAACCAAGAGAGAAGTCACCCGGGAAATTTGAGGGAGGGTTTGCAAATTTGTTTTCCAGGAGAGAAATATTTAAACTGGAATTAAGTCTTCAGGTGTACCAAGCGTGCTCGTTATATCGTAGCCGCACACGTAACCCATGTAACAGCACATGTAACACGTGTAACAGCACATGTAACGCCGGCTTTCATCAGCACGTCCATCTCCAGCTTTCTCCGCTGTTGGATCCATCGCATGCTCAGTATCCCCTCCTCTTCCCTCCCGAGCTCTCCCCTCCCCAGCAGCAGCCGCAGCAGCAGCAGGAGCAGGGTCAGCCGGGCCGGGCTTTGCTGCCGGTGAGGAGGAGGGAGGGGGCGGCCGCCCCGCTGCCTTCAGCTAACGCAGCATCTCTGCAGCCGGGCGAGATGGCGGCAGTGGGGCAGGGCGGCAGCCGGAGCTTTGCCAGCCGGTTGCAGCGTCCCAGCTGCTTTTTTGCAGGGCACCCTCTTTTAAATAAATGGGTCCGTAGGGAGCGTAGGCCCCCCCCTTGCGTGGCTGAAGGCTTGCCCCGGTGTACCCTGGGGCACACGTCTCCCGCGAGCTTCACCCCTCTTTAGAAACTCCTTCAGCTCACAGTAGCGTTTGAGAGGCTACGCGAAGGACCAAGGCGTACGTTAAGCAGACTGATTTCAGTCGACGTTGCCTTCCTTACTGACGTTAACGAACGGGAGCAGCCCGTGGGTGGGGAGACGCTCACGCTGGCTTGGCGGCACAACTCCATTCAGTTTCACCAGCATTTTCAGCGCGTTTCACCAGTATTACCTGCTGCTTGGGTGCGTAGTAAAAGGGCACGTCGGTATTTGCTCACTTCTGCTCTCGTTGGGTTGAAGTCCCTTCTCCTGTCCCTACACAAGCTGCTTTGATTGGCTTCCAGCAGGACTTTTCCTTGTCTAGACTGCGTGTGCGTGCGTGCGTGCGTGTGTGCTCGTGGGCGAGCCGTGCGTCTTCACGAACGCCGCTTTCCTCTCCGCAGATCTTAGAAACCAGCCGTACCGACGGGCCGACGCGGTGAGGAGAAGCGTCCGGCGGCGCTTCGATGATCAGAACTTGCGCTCTGCAAACGGCGCTGAAATAACGATGTGAGCGGGAGGCCTGCAGGTGCCGAGGAAAGGGGGTGCTTGAGCGCTGCCTTGTCCCTGGGAACTCGCTGTTCTGCCACTCATTTACAGCCTTGGGAACAGTAAACTTGACCTTCTAAAGGGCTCGAAGACCTAGACCATGCATAGGAACGTCAGCGATGGGCTCTCCACTCAACCGTAGCTAACAAGTGCCTAAAATTGAAGTACCTGCTCAAATTAATCAAAGCAATAGGACTTGATTTGATTGGGTATCTTTTTACACCAATACATTATTCAGTATTTTTAACCAAAATGTAAAATACGTGTTGTTTTCTTGGGTGTTTAGTTTCGTTTGATTATATAAAAGTTTAGCGACTGGTCTCCCGCGGACCTGACCCGCATCCCCACTGGTTGTAAACAGGTAATACTTGGCCGTGCTCTGCTTTTAAATGCATTCCTCTGCTGTCGGCCGAGGGCTTAACCTTGCCTTCAGCTGCACTTATGGCTTTTGTTTTGTTTTGTTAAAAAGGAAGACGTTTAAGGGCTTTCTCTCGGTAATATGGAAATAATCCAAGAGGAGACCCGTACCTTTCCCCCGCACACCGGCTCCGCACCACCGTAGCTGGGACGCGGCGCCACGTCCGTCAGCGGTCCCACGACGTTTAGCGCCCGATCCCGCGGCTCCTGGCGGTGGCGACGGCCGCGGTGCGCAACGCGGAGCTGAGGCACGGGGTGCTGGGGGCAACCGCACTGCGAGTCACGGCACGAGAAGGGTGGCCGAGGCACGTCGATGTCCTTCAGCTTCGGCATAACGGTGTATTTATTAATTAGCACTAAGGTATTAACATCTCAATAATCAGTATTAGGGTTCTGAGGACCGCCGCAGTTCAGTTACTCGCGCAGAGAATCCGCCCGTGCCCTGCTCCGTGGGGCTCCTGCCCCGCTCCGACTCCGCGGTCCGCGGACAATCCATTCAGGTTCCCTGCTGAGGAGCGGTCGGGCAGCGAAGGGAAGCCCAGCCTAAAAACCCCGGTAGGTTACAGGTGATACATTGCATTTGTAAAGCTTAACAAGGGAGAGGAGACGCGCGTCAGCACCGCGCGCCACCCCGGGCCGCCAGCGCGCACCCGTGTCCCACAGCAGCAGGACGAAGCCGCGTTCGTGCCGGCAGGGGGCGCGAGCTGCTCCGAGGTGAAGAACTGGACTGCAGAGAAATCTGTACTTGCCGAGATGCGTTTTGCTTGCAGCTTACCTTGCCTGGTCTCACTGCATCACTATGTTAATTGTAAAATTTACTGTATAGTATTTAACCACTGAATTTCTTTTTCTTTTATGTTGTGCTTATGTGAACCACTGGTGAAGGTCCCGTTTGTTTTTTTTTTTCTCGGATCATGTGTAGTTATATGATAATCTGTTTTTAAATGTACAGATATTTTGCTACAAAATCGGTGCAGTTTTTTATGGTTTTTACACTTCTCTTTTATTCCCACTGTAGCCTCTGGGTAATATTGTAAATATTGTTTAAATAAAAAAAAAAAAAAAAAAAGCATCAGCCTGTGCTATACAATCCGAATGTTATTTTAACTTATAGTTTTTGTTTTTATATTTAACTAAACGGACAGTTTGGGGCTCAGCGTTACCGCATCCACCTCCGCTTACCGACTGACTGTAAACCCCGCCGCCCTCCTGCCCGCGCAGCCGCGCGCGCTCGCGTGCCGAAGAGAACATGCCGCCCCGCCGCCCGCGCCACCGAGGGTGACGGAGGGGCCTCCCCCGCTGCCTGCGACAACCGGACGGTTAACCGAACAAAGCGTTAGGCAGACGGCTAGAAGCGCTAGCTCTCACGCTGTTAAGCTCAAAGGTATTTTTTTAATTGAAGACAAAAACGATCCTACAACTAGAATATAATGCTGGCATGTTCTCTGGAATATTTTTCTGGTAATAGACCTGCTTCTTAGCAATATTAGAAGTGTTTTATAAAAGCAGTTCATGTTACTTTCCTGGTCTGTTCCTGGCATAAGATCAAATAAACTATTTACCCTACTACCCCGTAAGCCGCAGGGGCGTTTTTGGGGCGCTTTTCTGTTGTTTCCCCGCAAATGGTGGCATTTTGCAGGCGCTTCCAGCAGGGGCAGAGAGAAAGCCCGGGCGCTGCCTTGGGGCTTTTCTTTTATTATTTTCTTTTCTTTAAACCATTCAGTGTTCCCGTTGGCACACCCCATCACTCAGGGGCTGTAACTGCACCCCGGTGCCTTTCCCCCCCCCTCCTTTTTTTCCCCCTCCCTTTTTTTTTCTTTTTTTTTTTGCGGTGGGCGCCCGCCCGCTGCTGCCCGGGCCCAGGCGCAGCCCTGGTGCCAGAAGGCGTCCCCAGGCCACGCACTTGCCGCATGCAGCCACGGCATCGCCGGGCCGGCAAGAGGCGAGGGGGCAAATTCCGGATCGCCGTTCCCGCGGGAATACCGGCCTGCCGGGCCAGGAGCGGTGGGCCCATAAACACACAAACAACAACAGTGCAAGTGTTTAGGACTCTTGGGAACAACTTCGTGCTTTAACCAAAATTCAGATTTAAGCTTTCGAAGGGTTTAACAGCCCAAACGCACCGGCGCGGGGGGGAGCTGGGGGGTGGGACAGCGAGCTGCCCCCGGGCCGCGCGAAACGGGGCGAACCGCGCGCCAGCCGAGTCCAACGCTGCGACAGATGATACCACGGACGCTTAAAAACAACTGATCTTGCTAAAAATCCTTCCCGTTTCGAGGCAGAAAGATGGAGTTTGAGCTCAGCGCTTCGTTGTGCTGGCCGCCAGCGACCAACCAAAAAAACCCCCAAAACCTGCAAAAAGCCTGACCTCGCTTCCCTAAAAGCGAAATTACGCCCTGCCGGGCTTGTTTTGCAAGCAGGCTCCTCTTAAGGTGCATTTCTTTTGCAAGACCTAATGAAGACATTAAAAAAAACCCCAACAACAAAACCAACATTAGAATAATTTACATTTACTCTTTTTTTATTTTTAATGGAAAAATAAAGGCAAACCTTTTAAAAGTGGTATTTACTTAGAAACACTTTCTCCTTATGCAAATGCAAGGCAATAACAACGTACGGTACAGACGTTCTAGCACGTTTGCAAACCGTCGGCTCCCATCCCGCGCCCCGCTCTGCACCGGCGCGAGGCCCGGGGAAGGCGCCGGACGCCCCGCTGCCGCCGGCCCCGCGGCTGCTGCTTCCCACCACGCTGCCTACGCGCTGCCGCCTTCACACATGGAGCCGGGGAGGGGAATTTCAGGGGCAGCAACCGTGCAGCTCCAGCCGGGGCGGCTGAAATGGTCCGGGAGCAGCGGCACTGCCCGCGCTGTGCCCGGCAGCACCGCTCGCCGCAGGCTGGAGCAAAGCCACGGCCAGTGCTTCCCCAGCTTCCCATGGAACCCGCCACCGGGGAGAAGGAATTCCCGCAAGCCCCACTTGCCCAAACTCCCGTCTTTTCTCCCCGATGGGGTGACGAGCAGCTGCTGCTCGCTGCT